CTGGTCCACCCAAGTCCTTAGAAGTCGGAGTTCACCCTCCTTTTATTTTAACCCATCCACCAGGGATACATTTCGACATCCTATTATATCCAAATCTGAGATGGAGATTGTTTTTCATGCTCGTCCTTGACCACTGGAACTCACCAAACCTCCTCGGAGTGTCACTAGCTTTGGTTCCTCATCAGATCAAATGTTCCCGTGTCACATCTCTGCTGATCTCACTGCGCTGGCTCCCCATCAAATTTAGAATTAAACTCAAATTTCTGGTGTTATGTGCCTGGCGAAATATATATTAGTAAACTTTTGCAACGATATGTCACCAGCATCTTCTGATCAGCGGTTATTTACCATTCCCAGATCTTACCTAAAAGCTGAAGAAGGTGACAGAGCCTTTGTATTTTGTGGCCCCCACTCTCTCAAACCCTCTGCCCTCCAGTCTACGATCTGTGAGCTCTGTGAACTCAAAAAGCAGCTGAAGTCCCATCTTTTTAAAATAGTGTTTGGGTAAAATGTCATTCCACATTTATTTTTGTTGTTGTTAATTTTCTTTTGATCCAAAACACCTTGGGATATCTTAAAGGGTGCTATTAAATAAATTTACTTACTTACTTCCTGCTTTTTGGGCATCATTTATAGAATTCCAGTGACCTACTAATCCAGGTCTTGTATTTCCTCAGTTTGTCATGGAATAAAGAGGGAACAAGCCTTACTTGGCCATGAAGCTTTTACAAGTTGCTATGTCACTAGTTGCTATGCTTGCCATCAAAGATTGTTCATCCACCTGTTTTCCAAATAAGTGTCCTGCAGTTTTTCCACACTTGACTCTAGTTTAGCCTTCTGTCATATCACCTTATTCATCTGTCTGTTTTGTGCAGTGCTTTCGATTTGGTTTGCATTTGTAATTAAGCTGCTGAGGTTTTGGTGTCCCGCATTTGGTTCCACCCTTCTGATTCCAGGCAGGAGATGCTGCTGAACGTGCCATGGGTGGGGCTCAACTCTCACTGCTTAACCTACAAGGAGCACAAGTTTTTTAAGCCATATGAAGCAGCAGTAGTACAAATAAAAAAGGAGATGAAAAATAAAAGTCAGAATCGATCGATCTTTTTTCCCCTCTTTGGTTTATTGTGCCACCGATGAAGTCCACAGAGATGATGCGTCAGTGAAAGGGAGAGAGCGATGGCTGAGCCTCAGAGCGAGCTAGAAAGCGATCGCGATGAAACAGAGAACTAAGAAATTTCTGCTTCTAATAAAAAAAAGAAACAGATTGGCCGTGAGCGAGCAGAATAAAATAGATGGAGGCGAGATATTACCTAGTACCTGTTTCTATAAACAGAAACACAAGTAAGACATTTTTCTAAAGTCACCTGTGTAAAAACAGCGATCACTGTATCAGAAGAGTCAGCTGAATACTATTCATTGCAGGAAAAACACAAATAGTGCTGTGGCTCTACCCATCAGGATTTGTGCTGTCTGTAGTGTTAGCTGTCTTTTGTTTATTGCCTGTTTTACTATAAATGGCTGTTTTCTTGCTTGTTTTCTATTAGGTTTACCTCTGGGGCTACCCACCATCACCTGAGAGGAATTACTTTCATTTTGTCTCATTTCCCTCCTGTTTTTCAGTCTATGCTGTATAGACCATCCTCCTTTTTACTCTTATCAAGATAATTGTTGAAGCTCCTCTTGTTTATTTGGATTTATCATTTTTATCTTATTTATTCCAGTATTTCTATTTATGCTTTCCTTTTGGCCTTTAATTTCAGCCCAATAAAAGGCTTGTTTTTTGTTCAAGTTTGTCTTCATTTCTGCCTTCTCCACACCTAATGTTTTAGGCACACGTGACATAAACTTTGTGGATATTTTCATGGATATTTCACCTCACTTTAGTTTTATTTAAACAGTACCAGCTCACAGCAAGAGTCATCTCAAAATGCTTTGTACTTTGGAGTAAAGAACCTACACAGACAAAACCCCAACAATCAGACGATCCCATACGAGCAACAGTTGGCGACAGTGGGGAGAAAGAACTCTTATATACTGTATTCCCATGTATGTTTGCACATGTTTCAATAAAATGCAGTACCTATTTCCTGTTTTCCTAACAAATAAATGAGGAGTGGCTCAAGACTTTTCCAGAGCACAGTAAGACACAAGAAAATCTACTGTAAAAACACGTTTTAAGATTGTATGTAGTATTAACTAAGGCAATGGTGATTATGATTTTTGCCGTAACCAAGAGGTTTTAGTGCCGTGTTTCTTCCTACCGCAGCTTTAAGTGGATGGAGGCTTTTGCAGTGTTGAGTGTCTCTAACCTTCACTGTAATTATTAACTTGTTGGCTACTTAGCATCTAGAGCGTTACCAGCAATTCACCAGCAATTCACCAGCAAAGTCAATCCAGACTTTGTAGTACTACAAATTTTCAGTTTGGTAGGATTATTTTATGGTTAACTCATTGTCTGTGCATTCAGCTAATGATAATAGAGCATGTCTTTTTAAAAAAAGAATAGTATTACCTGTGTATTTGAAACAAAACCTCAACAAGCAAAAATAATGTTGTGTAATAAGCATCAACAAATCATTTGTAAAAAAATAAAAAGGATTTTCTGATGCACGAAAGCTAAAAACATCCCCTCTTTTAAAAAGTTTGACTTACTTTGAAAGTTCATTTATTTATCTTTAATACTTCCATATCAATGATGGCAATCAGCCACCCATTCTGGATGATTAATTCATAGTTTAATTTATTCTCTTGTTCTGGTTTCTCCTCTGTGTGGATTTCTTATTCTTCTCTCATTTTAAGCTGATTTGATTTTTGATTTTTTTTGTTGTTGTTGTTGTTTTTACTAAACTTAATTCTGATCTGCTTCGAGAGCCTCACATGAAACTGAACAGACTGGTCAGGGTGGAGATTTTTCACAGTGCACCCATCACTCTGCTCATTACAGACTTAATTACACTGAAATTCCTTCTAATTAGCCAGCAACGTCGCATTTCAGAGGCGCTGATTGAGTAACTGAAATCTTCATGAAACAGTCGAAAGGTGGTTATGGATGGATGAATGGGTGTGTGGATGGGTGTGTGGGTGGTGGAGAAAGGACAAAGCAGAGATTAGTCATCAGTGTGGAGTTTGGTCAGAGGGGTGACGAACAGATGGATGGACGGATGGAGATCTCTCCGCTCTATGTTTAGCCCTGTGTCAGATTTCTGCTTTAATGGAGATTCCCTCTGTGATATCTGCAGCAGAGGCGGCTTGTTTGTGTCGTCATGTAGTCAATACTCAGGCGGACTTTTTATAGATTAAAGGTGAAGCAGAAGAAAAGCCGTGGGATTTAAGAAAATAGCAAAATAACACTGATATTTACCTAAAGGGTCCTTTTGCACAGTTTCATTGTCGCTTTCCTGCTGTGTGATACTGACATCCTCCTTATAGATGTTTTTTTTTGTGTTTCCTCCGGCATTGGCCTCAAGTCGTAGCAAAAACAGAAATACCACAGTGGGCAGTCGTCTTCTCTCATAGATGCAAAAACACCCCCACCAGGAAACACCAGAAGCTTAAAGCACAAAAAAAGAAAAGAAGTAGTTCAACAACACCAGAAAAGCTTGATGTTATTTGATGCTGTTATCTGTAGAAATATATATGGTGTGGGCTCACAAAGTGGCTTGCAGATGTTCATATGTATGTGCAGCTTTGGTTGTTTGCCATTTATTGGAACGATGCATTAAAAGCAGCAGTAGCCGGTGTGACTGGGCCTCCTACTGCATGCATGTCTAAGGAGGCTGAGATCTGCACACATCATAACTCCCAAAGATTTTTATTGATTTCAAAACTTATTTGCTATTTTTTTATATTAATCACAGTTTACAATATAAACATAGCACTGTAAAAAATTAACCTCAAAACTGAGACTTTTATCTCAGCAGTAAAATGTTTGATGAAGCCATAGATCAAGGGAGAAGTTTGCCCATTTTCTTACAGGCGTTTTCTTTAATCACACCAGATGAGTCGCCCCCTGCTGGACATTAGGAAGAATGTAGCTTTAAGGCTGTGGCTTAAGCCATTTGTATTTACAACTCAATGCAGTCTACTGCTGCTGACAAAATAGGAGTTAAAAATGAAGGTTAAATGTTTAATTTTTGAGCACTGAACAAGAAAACAAAAAGCCTATATGAAAGAAGCCATTGCAGAAGCTTTGCCGCTAATCCACCCGACCTCTAATGACAATTAGGTCACAAACTTTTTGGGCTGATGGAAAATAACTCTGCTATTCTTATCTGAACCGACCCACGTGCCATACCCTGTTCTAAGGCTTTGTGTTTATCAGAGCTGCTGCAAACGTCTGTGGGATTTTGAATGGTGTTTCTGACATTGGAAGTTTCATTTTGTCACTCGAGAGCTGAGAAAGCTATTAAAGTCTGAATTTTTGTTTGTCCTGACAGCTCAGACGGTGGAAGCTAAGTTGGTGGGCACGCAGGCAGTACGCTGCATGACAATGTGCATTTTCTCAAGTTATAAATGGGTACTATATAGAGGATTATATAAATCCTTAATGAATATCCAACTCAAACACATAAATAAACAGAGCAGAGCGAGTAGCTTCACGTCTGCAGCTGTTTACTGCCTCGCAACAGATTAAGCCCAGGAAAAGGTCAACTGTAACGTACACACATGCACTCAGATCCATCCGGACTCTTAGCAACACAATATTGATGTCCAACACAATGTAGCTCTCTGTCCCTGGGGGTTTCCCTGCCTCATTTCTGGCTCTGTTTGAGTCCTGCAATTAAAAAGAAAAAAAGAGTTTTACAGAAACGCAAATGAGTTCATGTTTGTCTTTTTGCTTGTAGTGTGACAAACTGGAACTGATAACCCTATTTAAGGGTTCTTAAAGTCTTGAAACAGCCATCAAAGGTTAGGAAAACATGAAGAACTGACAGAAATAGTCAGTTTTATAGGCTGGTTGTCTTTGAATTCTTATGTATCTTCTAAATTTGTGTCTGCAGGTTGCTTGTTTGAGAAGAAGCTGTGTCCCAGAGATCAGCTGTGCAATGATGGTGAGTATCAGCTCTTTAATCCAAGTTCATACAACACCTTAGACCCGTTAGATCAGTTACTGTTCAATTCAATTCTTTTTATTTATATAGCGCCAAATCACAACAGCAGTTGCCTCAAGGTGCTTTATATTATAAGGTAAAGACCTTAAAATAAAATAGAGGAAAAACCCAACAATCAGACGACCCCTTGTGAGAACATTAATTACCTCGATTACCAGTCTTAGATTCAGTGCTCTTGTTTCATGTGGATCCTGCTCACAGTGTCAGACTATGGGAGGTTTTTCTTTGAATTCATATAAATGGAGTTTCATAGGTTTTGCAGCTCTTTGGTTCAAAAGGGTTTATCACAAAAGTCTGGACGATGTAGAGTTGGTGCAAAATTTCACTGCAATATCTCATCATCTTCAAGCTGGGCTGGAAAATGCAGAAGTACCAAAAAACTGCAGGTCCTCTAACAGCCACTTGAGGCCACCACCTAAAGTGAGTCAACCCCCATAGACCCCCATGTTAAATTGTCCAACTTTACAGAAAACAGGTTTGGATACATTCTTCCTTCATAGCAACATTGCACTGGGTGATTTTTTTTAAATATTACTTATAATTCTCCACTTTGAATTTTATTAAGGCTTAAAGTTGCGGGCTCTTTGATTGACAGGTGAGTGTTGACACAGGCGGCTGTAGCTTCTCGCTGTCTGCTTACTGATACAGACGGTCCAAAATCTCTGTGCTCCAGTTTTGGTGAGTGAAATGGTAGAATTTTATTGATCTTGTATTTAGAGCAATGCTGAGGCACGGCCACTGGTAGATCCAGAAGAACACACTGGAGACATTATATATACATACTGTCTTGTGTGGAAGTGGCAAGAGTTCCTGGGGAGCGTGGAACACCTGCTCACCTTCAGATAAGATAATGGATGAATATGTCGCACCAATTAGCTGTTATCTGTGTCCAAGCATTGTATCAATATAGTTTATGAATCCAGCTCACTAACCAAGTTAATTAGCCTTCACTGATAACTTAGCACTCCATGCTCTCTGGTGGACAGAACACTAACTTTGACTCTTTGAGAAACCAACAGGTGATGAAATCTTTTACTTATATCAGGTCATTGTATCCACTTAATGATTTTCCAGTTGTTATCCCATAAATCAAAACTGTGCAACATTATGAAGAAGTAACAAACTCGTTCTCTTATACGTAAAAGATTGATTTCAGGTCAAAGCTGCTGTTCTGCAGTTTGAGATTCATATTTACGGTGTTGTGTTTTCACTTTCAGCACTTTCACTTTATCTTCATGTAGAGTATTATTGTACTTCCACTTTCAACATGAATACTGTGAATACTAAATAAGTTCCTTTACTTTAAACTCAGAAACTACAAATTTAAAACTACAAACCCAGTCTTGTTTTAGTCAAAAATGAAGCTAGACTGTTTCAGCTTGTAGGTCTTAATGTTTTCATCATTTCAAAGATTTTAAATTCTTAATACATAACTTGACCCATGAAGGCTGCTGTTATTTTGCATTGCATTCTGGGTCGCTGATGTAAACTGGTGGCATTTCAAAGCTACGATCACAGAGCTGCTATTTCTCAGAGACGCGAGTTTACATGCATCCATGAACATAATCAGTGATCCATGGTCACCTACACGGTATTGAAAGTCGAACTTTAGGTCATCAGATACAATCCCATTAAAGGAACATTTTGGATACTATAAATACTGCTACTAATAAAAAGAATAAAAAGAATACTTAGAGTATTAAATTGTTAATAAACAATCAGAATATTCCCTAAAGTACATCATTAATTTTTGTAATGAAACTCAGATAAAAGGCATGTTTACCAGGACAAACCATCGTGGCAGTGGCCAGTCTATATTTATTTATTTATTTTCATAATTCTTTTTAATTCTTCTGCTTGGGTTACCTGACCCTTTAAACATCCAGTTTTTTCCACGAGTTAAATTAGAGCTCAAACTTCCTTCTCAGTAGGGAGCTTATATTTACGGTAACCTGAATGCAGCTTAATGGGAAGAGTAAATTGAGTGAAAGTGACTGATCCCAGCAGGCTCCCGTTACCGCGGTACGCTTCAGGAAGCTCTGGCACATCCCCTGTCCATCACGCAGCCTGGAGCCCATCAGATGTCACGCCTTTGACGGCTCTGCTTATAATCGCTCGCTGGGTTTCCTGTTTCCTCCCTGCCTTTTCAAACATTTTGAGGTTGTCATTACGAGAGCAGGCGCACGGGCGTGCACCTGAAAGGGGCGCCTGCATTATTGATGGCATGTTACCCCTTCCTCCCCGAGGATGTTTTGTTCCTTGTTTTTACCTTGAGGTGGAACATGCCGTGCCAAACTTTTGATGAATCCAAGAACAAGGTTTTGTGAGAACACACAGCTCGTTTTCTCAGCCTGGCACATCTGAACTGAATATTCACGTGAACTGAAATAATTTCAAGACCTTTGGGGAAAAAAAGAACAAATCCGATGGATTTAAACATGTTTAAAGTTATTCTAGACTGCTTAATGATTTTCATTTTTTATGTCCTTCAACAGCTGCAGTTCGGAATAATGATTACGAATCAATTTACTACCAAACTTCATTCAAAAATCCTCTCATTCTGTGTGTCTGACCATTTGTAGTCTTACAACATTAAGATTCATCAAAAATGTAGGAGTCTTCAAAAAAACCACCCATTTTGAAAATCCTTTTTTCTGAAGATGTAATTATTTCAGCCTGTGTCATCATGTATAAGAGGAAAACACCCAGACTGCATTTTAAAAACAGCCCATTTTATGTGCTTAAGCATCTGTAAACACACATTTCCAGACTTCATGAAGATGCACAAAATTATTTCTGAATACATCAAAAGTGACTCATCCCAGCGGTTTCATTGTGGTGCTTTTTCTTGTGAAGATGCATAAAATAGTTAAAAATGAACAAAATAACCCATTTGGTGTGTCTTTATTAAACACCTACAGTTTGTGTTCACCATCTGGAGGGTTTGAATAAAACAGGTTTAGCTCCATTCTGAGGTAAAAGGATTGCAGAAGGCATCTGTAATCTGTGCAGAAATTGCCAGACTGAATTTTGCACACTGTGTGCTTTTCATCACATATCCATGCCTCAAAACAAATCTTCACCCAAACTGTGCTCAGGATATTTTCTCATGCATAAAAATGATCATTTCTGTGTCCGTAGACGTGCAGTATATAGAGTGTACAAAAAGACATCTTTAAAAGCTTTAATCATTTCTAATCTGGGTTGAAATGCTTGAATAACTCACTCGCACACACACACGTTCTCTAGATTTCATTCATGAAAAGGTCGTTTTGAGTTCTTTTTATGAGGTCAGATAAAAATATTTCACAGTAAAGTAATAAAGTGATGCAGACTAAAAACTAAAAATAGGGTTGAATGTCGTCAGTGCAATAGCATTAGCACACCCTGGGTTGTTTAATTGTCCTTAACAAAGTCCCGGTCCTGGGTTTGAATCCACTGTCGGTCTGCCTGGGTTCTTCGTGTGTACCTGAAAAGAAAGGTTTGTTAGGCTAACTGGTGATTCTGAACTGGCGATCTGTCCGGAGTGGCCGCTGCCTTTCAGACACTTGTCCTGGATTGCATAAGCGAGAGTGGATGGATGGAAAAAGACACACTGTGTGCAACCTCTGCTGTGTGTAAATAAAGCAAGCTGCAGTCTCACCAAAAACAATTGAAGCTTTTTTCATTTGCTGTCTGAGTTTTCACAGCAACTCCAAGCCAGTATAATC